TGGACAAAGTTATATTATTATTTGAAAGAATGCGTGGAAAAAAAACTACAACGTAATTTGGAAATAGTTTTTTGTATATCTACAAAAAATGTCCATTGAGTAATAAATACACTAACCTATTACCCATTGTTGGAATGGTTGGTTTTTAAGAGATCAAATGAAAAAAAATGTAGACAGAACTTATTAAATGTTTATTGTAACGTTTATGTACGCGTCACATCGAGAATTCAGAACGAAATTACGTATTTAAATTACTAAACGGTGACACCAACAATAAAGATAACTATGAGGCAACATATTTTAATGTGTGTGCTTTTCATGTACATTTCGTTGGCTCAAATGTAAAAAAGTATTATTAAAAAGAATTTATATATGTTGAAGGGAAAAAATTGATACCCAACAGATGTCAACGATTAAGGTATTTTATACATTTCAACATTATGGCAGTGTATAGCATGAGACCAGGTTTCTATTTACTTTTTTTCGGTTTCCTCGGTACGATGTTTATAAGTTATTTAGTAAACATTGACAATATATATATATAGAACTAATCATTACGACCTAGGTCCCCACGGGAATGCAATAGCTTACTAACACTTTCGGAAGAAGACATGAAAGTAGTGGTTTATGGAGTGAAAATCTATAAAAACTTATACACTTCCTTTTAAGATAAACAGTTGCAACCAAATACCGTATTTTGAAAATATCGTGGCTCTCGTAAATTGGACCTAGATAAACTGTGCACCATTATATATAATATGTGTATATTATTTGTCAAAAGCTTTCAATTTCTCTTGGATTTAGTAGTTGCCAAAATCATTCGCTATATTAATATGAATACTTAACACAAACAAAAAATAAAAACACTAAAAATACAAATATTATAATTGCATTTTTTATTTTTTTATTTTTTAGTACCAAATATCATACTTCAGTTAACTACTAATAAATTTAGATATTTTATCTATGAAAATATACGTATATTATCAGCTCAAGACAAACAGTCGAAACCACACTCGTTAGTTGTTTATAATTAATTTCTTTCTAGTTAAATCGATATTACGAGGTGCTATTTTGCAAAACAATTATATGCATGATTAGTAGCAAAGTCAATTTTAAAATAATCTTTTGTGAAACAACGCATTATACATGGTACGATTTGAGGTTGAACTTTTTCCGTCAGGAGCATTCATAAAGTTAAATATCGAACAGCGACAGCACTATATATCATGGTTACCGTGGTATATTGCCAATAATAACCATTTTGGTTGCCCTAGAGTTGTATCAAAATTTAAAAGACTTATTTCCTGATTTTTCGAAAAAAACTTCATACGCTCTGTCGATTTTCTATATTTTGAAATGCACATCCCTGAGATTTTCATTTGAAAAAAATTGATTTTCTAGTAGATTTCGTTTGCTAAAATACGTTATGTAAAATAACGAAAAGGTAATGTGGCGCTAATATTTATAAATTTTTTGTGACATATTCATGTTATACAAGTACCTATATTCCTATTCTACAGTGTATTTGTAATGTATTTCACTAATTTATAATGTTGTATACAATTGTGTTGTGCAAATATTCTGGTTCTATGATTAGTATTCATTAGCTGCATGAATGTTTCAATACGCTTACACATATCGAAAATATCCCTTAATTTTCTATGAAACGACTCGATAAGTAGGCGTTGAACGTAAAAAACGGCTAATTGTTTTCATTTTATTGTCTGCGTTCTACTTTAGTAATATTACCGAATATTTTCATCTTATCGTCGTCATAGACGTCGAAAATCCCACTGAATTTTATAACTAATATCGATCAAATGTAACCTGCTTCCCTCTCATGTTATGTGTAATGACAGCTACTATAATTAATATAGTATATAAACCAGCAGAACTTTGTCTAGTAAAATTTTTTAAAAATGTCTTTCGCATTCTTAAACGAGCACAAATAATAACAATTTAAAATATAGTTTATTGTGCGCTAGGTGTTATGTGAGGTCGAAAAAGATTAATTTTTTTTTTTTTTTTTACTCATAAATATATATTATTTTTATTTTATTTTTTTGTTTAACTCATATTTATATATAAATCAAAAACTGAGATGTTTGCTGAATATATCGAGCACCCGAATAAATTCACTGACTATTTTTAAATAAACATTACACTGTGTGATCATGTATGAAAAAAACAATTTTTGTTCGATAGAAATGAACCGTATGACAGCAGCTGATGTTTGAGGATACTCCATATATTCATACAGTATATATAATATTAAGTACACATATGAAATTCTTGCACAGCGGGACTACGTTTTAAACGGAATCTGGATTACAATAGATTCTATCACCAACGAAAACTGTCTCTCTCTCTCTCTCTCTCTCTCTCTCTCTCTCTCTCTCTCTCACTCTCTCTCTCTTTCTTTATCCTGTTAAATGAAATTATCATCTAGCAAAATACTTGATAAGACGGGACCTGCCCAACATTTAACTTTTAGAGGTGTTCGTAAAGACCATAAAGATGTTTATTTACATATACAGCCTAATAAGAAAACTAAGTTCACTTATAAGTATATCAAAAAATGTTCATTATTTCGGTACTGTTGTTTTTAAAATATAAGTTAAAGTAATGTTGACATGTAATTTGATTGAAAATGTGTCGCGAAAAATTTCGAATCATTTATAGTAGATATGACGAAATCATTAATTAAAATATAGTACACATATAAACTAAAATTGGAAAAGTCGTAAATGAAATCGTAACTAAGACAACCAATTAATATACTTTATTATCAACATCCAATACATTAAAAATGTAATAGCCTGTGTTCCTATTGAAGTTTTATATTTTTATTTGTATGCGGAATTTTAATTAAACTTTCACTATGTGCATATGATAAATAAAATAAGATAGACATTTTCTATTAGTTCAGTAAACTGAAAATATTTTTCAAAAGGATTTTTTTATTCTGCTCAATTCTGTTGAAGATAGGTTTTAGGATAATATTATAATAATACTTATTAGTATATTTTTTTCTAAATTCACAGTTAATTTATTAAAATATATATTTTTTCAAATGTTATAAATAAAAATGTATAAATCCATCTGATAATATTGATCTTAAACTTTAATACACGTTCAATACATTTTATAAAAATATTAAATAAGTGTTTTTAAATAAAAGGTTTTTAGTTCAGTTAATGAAAATAGAAAGTTAAAAAAAAAAAAACCCTATAATATGATAGTACAACTAATTGAATTATTCGTGAAATAATATCCAAGTAAATACTAGTAACAGAATATCAAATCTTTTTATTTATTTTTAAGTTAAAAACTTCATAAAATATCCTATGGCTATTTTATATTGATTCAGAGTTTTTTAATTCTTATTTGATTAATTTTAAATTCTTTTTAAGCCTTTGAATAACTAATTTTAATACATTTTTTAGCAAGTATTCAAATGTGTATTTCAACTAAAATTTAAATCATTTTTTTGAACAAAAAAAATTTAATTTTTAAAATGATTAATTCCTTATATAATAAATTTACAGTTTCATGCATCAATTGAAGATACTTATTGAAATATACGATAAAAAATAAATTAAATAAATAAAAATAAAAGATCATGAAATTATTATATTGGGGAGAAACTTTGCATTTTTCGTAGATTCCACAGCTTGAATTTTTCCATTGACACTAATTTACTGAATATTACAACATTTATCAGTATATTTAAGAAAACGACATATTCGTTTAATTATCTACCTTAAAACCATATTAGTTATAAACAACTATAGATATTTTTGCAGATAAATTGATTTATTTTTAGAGAAAATATTACATTTAATTACAACAAATCAAGAACAAATACATTTTCCTATTAAGTCAAATATGAATAAAATTGCATATAAAAATAATAAATATTATTATATATAATAATAATAATAATATATAATATATATATATATATATATAACCTCTATGTATAATGAAATATAAATGGTCAAACTTCCCACCTCAGCTTTTCTATTTTAAGAAAAATACAGGGTATTTATAAATTATTTCGTAGTAATCATTACGTCATAATAATAAGTTCTCAAACTTTGTTTTTTAAGTGTGTTTGAGGAGTACTATATTGACATTTTTTTCATCTTGGCTCATTATATGAGCTTCACAAACTCAAATTAAGTAGGTATGCACTTATTTGGTAACTTGAATTACTTTAGTTATAATATTAAATATTTTGTAAGTATTTTAAGGAGCTTTACAACGTTCATAGAACAAATACGCATATCGTTTTAAAATTTCTTAAGTTATTGTAAATGTTAAACAATAATAACACATAATAATTTAAATGTTTCATTACAAAATATATTCTAACCTTAAACAATTAATGTTATATCAATAGTATGCAAACGGAATGATAATTGTATAGATATTATGATTATAAGTTATGTAATTGTTGTAGTTTGGTGATTGCGAGGGGTGATTAATTAATTTGTAACATTTAATAACTATAGGTACCTCTCTACTGGTGGTTCAATTGTATTACCATAAAGAAGGGTGAAGCTTATATTTCGGTTTTAAATATATCCTAAATTACATTGTTTTTAAATATATACATTTTTATATTAATAAAACAAAAATGTAAGTAATACCTTTAAAGTTTATACTACTTATAATGATACTAACATAAGTATATAGTAAAATAACATAACATTATGATTTATAAAAAAAAAAAAAAAACCAAGGGGGAGTATGTTCCGTTTGGCTATTTCTAAACCTTTACTGCCCAAATATTTTTTATTTGTTTGTATATTTTGATACATTTTTAATATTTGATGAAACAACATGTAAGATATTTAATAAATGGAAAATTATTTTTTTACTTGAACATTCTATATCATACAGAGAAAATTAACACCATAAAAAATTTAACCATGATAAATTGTAAGTAGTTGATAGATTGGTATAATTTTATATATATTTTTTTTTCACAGGATTCTATAATTTTTCATCCGCGTACGAGTGAAATTTAAGAATATTTGGTCATTTGTTTCATACAATCTACTACAAGAATTGATCAAATTCGTAAAACTATCAGTTGTGATAGGTAATGTACATTCATTATTAATTTTACCTTTGTCACATTATTTTATTGTGTTTTAATGCTCTTTCAATTTAAACGTCAATATGTAATGGATTTTATCATAAGTCCATCGAACGAAATTACTATGAAGTACTCAAACGATAATATTTTATTTCAACAATATTATTATAAATGTAGTATTTGAATAATAAGCATATTATTGTTCGAAAATATATTTCATATAGTGTTTATAATAATAATACATTGTTTTCTTTTTACCCTAAATACAATTTGGTGATTTCCCCGATTTATTATACATTTGTGTAAAAGTATGAAATTAAAACAAATGCGATAGAGCTGTAGTGGGATTTTTTAAAAATTAAATACCATTATAAAACTAAAAACTCTAATTTCGGGGCTGTTATAATTTTTATGTTAAAGTAAACACACGGAACTTTACAAATTGTAATTTTAATAACATACATTCTTATATTTATAGTAGCGTAGTAAGTAAAAATATTTATTGTTATTATTTTTTTTGCATCATGCAACTGCAAATTTTAACCATACAATATTTGGATAACAGTGGAATAATAATATTAAAACGTGAATTTCACGTAGATCCTTCATTCATTCTGGACGAATATTCATAAGAATACGTATTTAATACGTGGTTTCCACACATTTATTACGATGTACTTCTAAAAAACAAAATATTAAATTATGAACACTGAGATAACTATATCTCAAAACTCTTGATGTTGTTTTCCATAGAACGTAATTACATACGTAAGTAAGAACCTATCCGATGAAAAAACAACACTCGCACGATTTTTGAAATTTATAAATTATAATGTAATGGTCTTATTACCTACTTGAAACTTTCGACGACATTTAATATATACGGCGTTTTTTCCGTCTTTTGATTTTATACCTAAAACTGTTCAAAATATTTGGTATATACGTTTCCCCCCCAACTATGTATATTCGCTTAATTTTTAGTACCGACTAACGGACAGATGATAAAGCACAACAATTAAAAACACTTATAGTTAGTAATTATATGATAAAAGAAAGACTACCTTTTTTTTTTTTTTTTTTTTTTTACCAAACAACCAAATAAATTTATATAATTATAAGCTCAAAAATTTCAGAAATAAATTTATTTTTCTTTCCTACTTCAAGAGTACATTAGATAAAAGACAAAGTGGCGGTGTATCTTCGTAGACATTTGTATGACGACCATACAACAACGATGATTATCAAATAAAATAACGTATATGTACAAAGACTGTCAGATTTAGATCATTAATAATGAATCTCATTAAAACAATAATCTATATTTTATGACATATACTTGTTAGCAACCGATGAAACTTTCCCAAGTTTTTTAACTATATATCAACTTTTCCCAAATACACACGTGTACACTTTTATAGTATCAAACTCACCAAAACGTGTGATGTACATCATTTTTGCAACAACAATGTAATGATATGATTTCGATGGATATATTTCGTTTTACTATGAGTCTATTTTCACAACAATATTGAAATGTTGAATGATTAAGATGATTCATAAAGCATATAAAAAATATTTGGTTTAATTGATAATAGTATTTGTCTTTACCGATTAAAAAAAGTGAATCGTCATATATAATACGAGATTTGTACAATACATCATATTAATTGCACAATGCAGGTATAATTTTGTAAATTATCGTGTACTATAAAATTAAATATCCAGAATAATAAATAATAAGTTTTAATATCATTTTTCTGAAATTTCTTTATCAAAATTTAATATTTTATAGTAATTTAAATGAATCTATTATGTATCAAAATATGAAATTGTATTTCTCATTAAATATATATTTCCCCTAACAATATACTGATTTCTCCTAAATTTATGATTAAAAACGTTTGCGTTATTTATAGTGAATATTTTAAAATGATTTATGATTTTTATGTTTCTGCCCAACTTGTCATGGAATACTTGTTGAAGTCATAATTATTATAAGGGCGTGAGTCGGAAATAAAGAAAAGAAGAGAAAATAATAGATATATACAAAAAAAAAAAAAAAAGGGAAACCTTTTAATCTCTATAGAAAGATGTTTTTCTTTTCTCACTTTAGATAAATGATTACATTATTTTCAGATTATTAATGGTTGAAAACATCAGCAAACTCACGTCAGTAAAGTTTTTATACGCTACAAGTATATTTATTATTTATATTTCTTGCATTATTTAGTCTTCTTAGTGGGTAATAATTCAAATAGATTAAATACAATCATTAACATTGTAAAGATAAAAAAAAATTACTATGTTAATTAATAAACAGTGTATACCATAATCGATTAATAGCAATTAATTTTATTCAATTACTAATGAAAAGTATTGATAATTTATTATTATTTATCGATGTAAAAACGAACGAAATAAAAATAATTTGCACCTGTTTAATTACTTTGTTTCAACCGAATTATATTGATTTAATTGGTAATATATAATATTTACGTTTATTAATAATAAAATAAACAACTTTGATTTTTGTTTTTTTAATTTACAAAACCATTTGAACTTCTTAAAATAATAATATTATATATCTGTAAAAAAAAAAAATTAGTGTCAATTAAATCAAAATTGAAAAAAAAAACTTATAATTATACTTTGAATTGATTTTTAGTAGTCAAAATTTCGATTTTTGTCGAATATATATCCGTTGAGCTCGTGCTAAATAAAAAAAAATATTGACTAAATCGACCGAAAGAGGCAAAAAATAATATTCGTAAAAAAAAAAAAATATAAAAAAAATAATAACAATAATGAAAATAATAAAAATGTACAAAAAAACGCATACCCTACGATCCAGATTTATACCGCGACAGGTCCGCGCGCCCGGTGCGTATGTCATAATTTGTGTCTAATGTTCAATAAATTCCCACCAGTACCCCACGTACGTACAGTGCGAAGCGGGTCGTGTATGTGAGCGCGTCTACGGGGGTGAAAAGGCGAAGGGGGGGGGCTTCACGCGCGCAGTGGGCGAAATGAATTGTTGGCCCCGTGAGATCGCAGGGAACACCACGTTATTGAAATAAGAGCGTCGGTATAATAGCGATCCCCAGGCGCACGCGAGAATAAGGAAAAATTCCGTGGCCGTTCTCCTGCTATACCCGTTTCACAACCACTCGCCGAACAACTCCTGCGTGCGTGCACGGCCGCCCACACGCTTTTGCACAACTTCGTACACGTGCGCGCACGCACAATCGGTCGTGCCCACCCGCAAAATCGTACATCTAGTGTTGCGTTCGGATGTAGCTCGTGAAAAATCCCATTTGTTCTGCTGGTCTATTACCCAAAATGAATATATATGGCACACGAGTGTTGCCACGAGTGCGCAACGCCGCGGCCCCCGTACACCATCGTCGATTCTTCTCGCCGCGGAACACACCGTACGTGCATTTCTTTCATCGCCAGTAGAATCTCCGGTCGGATAGATTTAAATTCCTGCTCGTTCTTTGACCCCCCCCATCACACAATTTATCGGATTTCCGTTCATTTCCTGCCCGACCGATGTCTTCAACATCCACCCGTCATTATTCGATCCCTCAGTGCTCCCCTCGTGGTTTCAACTGAATTACTACACTACCAATGTGTACAATATGCTACCGGTTGAAAGATTGCAACTCGTTGATCTTTTTTTTTTTTTTAGTTAGAAACTTTTATTGCCGGTATTGCCGGATTTCCAAATTCTATGGTATACACCGAGTAAAAGCCGTTATATACATATATATGTTTCCAATACCACTTGTACAGATAATACTAAACACAACCTTGGTACACACAACTCAGTACATACGCCGTGGTGTATAGCTCAAATAATTTAATAATAAACAAGATATACTTCAACTCGAACGTGACCCATTTTTTATGATTACAGTGTGTTAGGGTCAGTGGTAAGGAGATTTATATCCATGTACCAAATAGGAACGATATATTACATAAAATAATAATAATAATATAAGTACTATGATTCTTTTAATATTTTAAGACGTTGTTCTTACAAAAACCATGGTTTTTGAACAACAATTTTATTTTTAATATGGAATAAATATTTTTCTATTTCGTACATTGTACTGTATAGAACAATTTTATTTGTGTATATTTAATAATACCACGAAAGTTTTACCAACCAAGTCCAATATACGTAAGTTAATATGTACTCGGATTAGTTTAGAAGGTTTTTAGCCTTTAGCTACAGCAATGGCACCTTCAGCATTTTACTGTAAATCAAGTTTACTAGGTATATATAATACTTATAAATATATACATTTGTCGATGAAAGTAAACAAATAATAATTAAAATGCAATATTCGGACTGGTTAAATTAAATAGTATAGTACCTATCGTTTGAAACATTTCCATCAGTATTTTGCGTGATCAAATACAGTTATTACGTTTTTTGAAACGCAAACAAATCTGTAACTTTATGGTAAAAATTAGTGATAAATTCCAGTAAGAGATCTTTTAATGATTTAGTATTAATAGAGAAGCTAAAATTCAAATGATTAAAATAACGACCTATTCAGAATGCGATCCTTAGGAAAACTTTTATTCATACTTTCATCAGTTTATCCTAATTTATTCCTAAACATTCGACTTGAATAAACAGTGAACTATTTATAAATATTCATGACTAAAAAACAATTTATTTTGTACTTATACATGAACATTTATATGCATTAATACTATACACGGTTTAAGTAAGTAATGTTTTTCACGGGTAGTGTTCTATCATTAAAACAAAATAGAATATAATCATTAAAACAAAATTGTATTTAATTTTTACAGTCACTATCATGTTAATGACAATGTAGCTTTCAATATATATTTTAGTTTAATGATTTAATGATACAAAATGAAGCCAGTCATTTAATTTTAAATTTAATAATGTAGCTTTTCTCTTCTTCACTATCCCTGTTTTTTGGAAAAGCTATTGTTTTTCATCTTAGTATCTACCACTA